AACATGGAGAAACCCTGTCTCTACTAAAAATACAAAATTAGCCGGGTGTGGTGGTGCATGCCTGTAGTCCCAGCTACTTGGGAGACTGAGGCAGGATAATCGCTTGAACCCAGGAGGTGGAGGTTGTGGTGATCTGAGATCACACTATTGCACTCCAGCCTGGGCAGCAAGAGCGAAACTCCATCTCAAAAAAGAAAAAAGAAAATGCTAACTAATCTAAAGTGACAGAAGCAAGTCTGTAGTTTCCTCGGGTTGAGGGTGGAGGGAACAACTCTTAGCTGCAAAAATTCAAGTGGAAACTTTTTTGGGTGTTATAAACATTCTGTATTGTTATTGTGACAGTGGGGTCATGGGTATGTGCCTGTGCCAAAACTCATATAATTGTATAATTTTCATGAATGCAATTTACTGTACATAAATTATATACTTCAATAAAGTTGATGAAAATTAATGAATTGCGTGCATGCATACATTTATTAACAGCAACTAGTAGACAACATGGTCACCAATTTGTCATTTTCAGAAATTCTCATTAGATAATAGGGATCATATTACAGAGAGAATGGTGCATTTAATTTGTAATTGGGTCCATATAATTAATTCTAAAGCACTTTATTATGATATAGATTTAGTAACTCTTCAGCTACAATTATGTTTTGCATATCTATCATGTAATATATATCTTTCTCTAATTATAAAAATGTTGAGTTTATATGATAGCGATATATAGAGACCTTAGATTGGAATTGTTAAGTATAGAGTTTGATTTACATTCTCATATACTGTAGGTAAAACTTATGGAAAACTTAAAATATGCAATAAACAAACTGTTAAATCTTTAGGACGTTTATGACAAAACTGGAGATTTAAACACTAATTTTATGTTAAATAATTATCAGTATTTTCTAGATGTAATTGTGCTGTTATTTTTAAAAGTTCTTATCTTTTAGAGATATATACTGAAATGATATAATTTTTGACATTGTATTCAAACTACTATCACATGGGGGAAGAGGGTGAGCTTGTAGGTGAAACAAGATTGGTTATAACCTGATAATTACTAAAGCTGAATAATGGGTCCAGGTACATGGGGGTTATTATTTTTTTCTGTTTATATTTGTGTATGTCTGAAATATCCTGTAATAAAAAATGTGTATATCTTCTGACTTAGAAATTTCACTTCAAGGAATTTATCTTAAGGAACTTCTCATGGGTGTGAACAAACAATCCACAGTAATGTTCAATGCAATATTGTTATAATGCTAATAAAATTGAAAACAAATACTTAAAAGTAGAAATTTGGTTAAATACATTATGATACATTTCTATGATATAATACTACATGACATTAAAAATGTGTCAAAAGTATATAATTACATGGAAAATATTTGTGATATAGTTTAAAAAAAAATTGCAAACTCTAAAACAGTATGTCCAGAAAAATCCATTTTTAAACTTTGTGAAAAGTAAATTATATACATATGTGGTGTGTGTTTGTGTGTTTGTATGCGTACAGAGAGGATATATACACACACACAAACACAAGGATATATATCATAATTTATATGCTCATAAGTTTCCAGTATAACTTTTTGGTAATTGAGTCTGCCTTGTTTTCTGTTGGATGTTTTGGCTTTGATATGTTAACAATGCAATGTAGTATGAAATTTCACTGTAAAATGTTTTATATGCTTTACTATTTTGTTATTTTGTATTTGTTATTGGTTAAACCTTAGCGTGTAGCACACTGCTTGGCACATAGTAGGTCCCCCTGCCCGCAATATTATTCAGTGAATAAGAATCAGGTTTGATTTATTTATTTATTTATTTATTTTTTTTGAGACAGAGTCTCGCTCTGTCTCCCAGACTGGAGTGCAGTGGCCGGATCTCAGCTCACCGCAAGCTCCACCTCTCAGGTTTATGCCGTTCTCCTGCCTCAGCCTCCCGAGTAGCTGGGACTACAGGTGCCGGCCACCTCGCCCGGCTAGTTTTTTGTATTTTTTAGTAGAGACGGGGTTTCACCGGGTTAGCCAGGATGGTCTCGATCTCCTGACCTCGTGATCCGCCCGTCTCGGCCTCCCAAAGTTCTGGGATTACAGGCTTGAGCCACCGTGCCCGGCCTTCAGGTTTGATTTAAAATAATTTTTCTGGCTGGGCATGGTGGCTCACACTTGTAATCGCAGCACTTGGGGAGGCCGAGGTGGGTGGATCACCTGAGGTAGGAGTTCAAGAGCAGTCTGGCCAACATGGTGAAACCCCATCTCTACTAAAAATACAAGAATTAATAAGGTGTGGTGGTACACCTGTAATCCCAGCTACTCAGGAGGCTGAGGCAGGAGAATCACTTGAACCCAGGAGGCAGAGGTTGCAGGGAGCCGAGATCACACCACTGGACTCCAGCTTGGGCGACAGAGTGAGACTCCATCTCAAATAAAATAAAATACAATAAAATAATTTTTCTTTCTAAAATTTTTCGTTATTTTTCATATTTGTTTTTTGAAGAACATATGTTACTTTCTCTCTCTGTTAAATGCAGAGACAACAGGGGAGAGACATATTACTTTTTAAATGAGAAATTCACTATTAAGAAATGAACAGTTTTGGCAGGCTGTTTCTGCTCCTCTGTTCTGAGATGTAATAAAGTGAAATATACTTCTTAAAATTTCATATAACATCTGAATTGTAGATATTTATTCAGCATCTTTTAATTTTTTTGTTTTTTTCTAATTTCAGTTCTCCAACATCTTCAAATAAAGAAGTGGTTATGAAGAATGGTAAGACTCCAGTTGCCCGCATGATTCCATGTGGGGTGGGAAAGGGCTTTTTCTGTGATAGAATTCCCTGACCAATGGTGTCTGTACCAGGAGTCACTCATGTGAAATCTTATATTAGTGTGTTCTAAACGATGAGCCAAAAGGGGCTCAAGCTTGATATATGTGACAGTGCTTAGCATATTATTGCCACTCAATTACATTAATAAATAAAGGACATTTAGCATTGGTAACCACATCATTATTTATTTGACAGATCAGAATAATGGAGGTACGAAACCAGTCCAGAATTTCACAACAATACCAATCACACAGGTATGACTATGCCAGGAAACCAGATTGTAATCTAGCTCTAAAAAACTGAAAAACACGTTTCAATCGTGTCTGTGCTCCTGTGAAAATATAAATTATAATTGTATTAATAAGTAACATATTTTTGCTTCAATTTGGGGTGGGGAAATGTATTATGGAATCTCTTCTTTTTATTTTTATTTTATTTTATTTTTAAAATTTTATTTATTTACTTTTTTGAGACAGAGTCTCACTCTGTCGCCCAGGCTGGAGTACAGTGGTGCGATCTTGGCTCACTGCAAGCTCCACCTCCCAGATTCACACCACTCTTCTGCCTCAGCCTCCCAAGTAGCTGGGACTACAAGGCACCCACCACCACACCCAGCTAATTTTTTGTATTTTTAGTAGAGATGGGGTTTCACCGTGTTAGCCAGGATGATCTTGATCTCCTGACCTTGTGATCCACCCGCCTCGGCCTCCCAAAATACTGGGATTACAGGCATGAGCCACCGCGCCTGGCTAGAATCTCTTCTTTTTAAAAGTCAACTTTTATTTTGGATACAGAGGGTCCATGTGCAGATTTGTTACATGGGAATAGTGCATGATGCTGGGGTTTGTGGTATGAATCACATCACCCTGATAGTGAGCATAGTGTCTGATAGGTAGTTTTTTAACCTACTCCACTCCCTCCACTCTCCAGTCATCCACAGTGTCGATGGTTTGCATATTTATGTCCATGTGTACTCAATGCTTAGCTCCCACTTATAAATGAGAACATGTGGTATTTGGTTTTCTGTTTATTATAGAATCTTACAGTTGAGAAAAACCTAAAATACTTAATTTTACTTGCTCTCTTATATTTTCATTACAATATTCAGCTTCATTTCTGTTGCTATAATAATAATAATCTTTGGTTACTGGTAAGCGTAAGTTGCAGCTCTCTATTAACTAATTTTTCTTTTATCTGTATTTACACTAGAGTAATTGGTGTAAATTTCTTTCTTTGTATTGTACATTTTATGGGTTTTAATAAATGTATAATGACATGTATTTACCATTACGGGATATGACTTAGCTCTTTCATTTCTAGGAAGCCTTTTGCACCATAGACACAAGTTCATCTCTTACGTTCTTTATATTTGGTTAATTAGGCTCTCAACTACAATCTGAGCAAAGAAGGGCATTTAGAAAAAGAACCTTGGAATGCATTCAGCCATCATGGCCCAGTTAATGTCTCCATCGATGGAATTTCTTGCATTCTCTTCTGGGCCAAAAGAATCACGATTAAATTTAAGAATCAAACCTGGCTGGACCTTACAGACGAGGCATTTGGTCAGAAGGTAACAGTGGACCCTGACAACTCAAATTGCACTGAAGAAAGTGCTAGGTATGTTGATCTCTCAGTTTGAGGAAGCCCTTAGGGCTATTGCGTTGTTAACTCTGCATTCAATTTTTTTGTCATTTCAGAAAAAAAAAAAAGTAGGCTCCTTTGTATAGGACCCTGACACACATCTTTGAGAAAGTATTTACTGTCTAAAATAAAGGAACAAGTCAGAAGTTAACTTCAAAAATTGTTGGCTGGGCACAGTGACTCATGCCTGTAATCCCAGCACTTTGGGAGGCTGAGGGGGTGGATCACCTGAGATCAGGAGTTCAAGACCTGCCTGGCCAACATGGTGAAACCTCGTCTCTACAAAAATACAAAAATTAGCCAGGCATGGTGGCGGGTGCCTGTAATCCCATCTACTCAGGAGGCTGAGGCAGGAGAATTGCTTGAACCTGGGAGGCGGAGGTTGCGGTGAGCTGAGATCCCATCATTGCACTCCAGCCTGGGCGACAGAGTGAGACTCGGTCAAAAAAAAAAAAAAAAAAAAGTTATATTTTCCTGGCAGTTTTCTGCTGAACCTTTTTGCTAATTGTCAGAATAACTTGTAGAAAATGAGACTTTGGAAAGCGAGGGTTCTCAAACTCATTTTGAAAACACCAAAGGATTCCAGGCTTGGTCTCACCTCCAAATATTAGGTGTTAAACTACTTTTATCCTATCAGGGAAGAGATCACATATCCCAGCAGGGTCATGCACATTCTAGTGGGTGACACACTAGCCAGGACAAATGCTTGACTCTGTGGAGGTGGGGGGCGGGGGCGGGGGTGTCAGTGTGCTGAAATAGTGGAATATTGCCTGTTTGCAAATGTGCAGGGCACTTTTCAATGGCTAAATTCCAGATACTTCTTTGGGACATTTCAAAATGATTGAAATAATTAGTTTTGATTTGAGATAAGCAGATTAAACAAATAACATGTTTGAAGGGCAAATCAATTTCCAATGCTTTTTTCTGCTTTTCAGTCATCCAAGCAAAAATTTTTGTTTTTATTTATTTTGGTCCAGGGAGAGGAAATCTGGCATGTCCTGCTTGCTTTCTATAAACTTTCTTTTCAACATTTGTTGGTAAAATAGATCCGTTTGGAAGATTCTCTGCATTTGTTCTGGTTTGGTTTAGATGGGTAGGGTGCTTTATATAAAGCATAACTGTGTGCGTGTGTGTGTGTGTATTCTTTTTCTACTTTATGTACTTTGGCTGGAAACATCCTTTTATTCCTGAACTTTACTTCCCACTTAAAAATTGTTGGTGATGGGTAAAAATGGATTCTATTAATATACAATTAAAAGTCATATTACAAATCTGAATATCTTGCTGTTCAGAACGACTATCTTTTATTAGGGATTTAGGGAATTGTAAGTGGAAGCATCTAGAGTCCTCTCAGATTTGTTTATCCTGTTATAGCTCAACTATCCAAGACTATCAAAGAGACTATGGGATGCTGAGAGCTCAGGACCTTTTCCTGGGGTGCTAATTAATTCCCCACAGGGCTCTTTATTTGTGGTCAGTTGCACAGAGAGAGGCTGCCTGCTTGGGGATAATCTTGGCTGTCTATGGCTGACTGGCTCTCCTTGATTCCATTTATCCTGACCCTAGGGCATTTGTGGGAGAAAATCAGGGTCCTACAGTTGTTTGTTTTTTATTTTATTTTATTTTATTTTATTATTTTATTTTAAAGACAGAGTCTCGCTCGTTGCCCAAGCTGGAGTGCAATGGCACGATCTCAACTCACTGCAACCTCTGCCTCCCGGGTTCAAATGATTCTCCTGCCTCTGCCTCCCGAGTAGCTGGGATTACAGGCAGGTGCCACCACCCCTGACTAGTTGTTTGTATTTTTAGTAGAGACAGACAGGGTTTCACCATGTTGGCCATGCTGATCTCGAACTCCTGACCTCAGGTGGTCTGCCCACCTTGTGTTCTCCCAAAGTGCTGGGATTACAGGTGTGAGCTGCCGCGCCCGGCCACCTACAGCTTTTTTTTTTTTTTTTTTTTTTTTTGCTGGGTTTTAGAGACCTTGTGATTACTGGGAACCTAGAGACAGAAAGAATGAAAACTTGGCCTCTAGGCCCAGTTCTACCAGAGAGCTTTGTGATTTTATAGGCAGGACACGTAGGATCATCATCTGTCAAATGGAGATGACGGCATCTATTCATTATAGCTATGAGGCCTTGAGCACTTACTGTGGGCCAGGCACAGTGCGAGCTCTTCATAGGCCCATGTCTGTTTTTCCTCACAGTAACTCTCGGAGTCACAGGCAGTTATCATGACAGAGGTTAGAAAACTTGCTAAAGTCATGGAGTATGTATGTTCGTAGAGCTGGGCTTTAAAACATCTTTAAAAATGACCATGTATCTTCTTCCTCTTGGCCCTATCTTACAAGGTTGTGGAAAACACATGAGGAAATATATGCATAAGCACTTTGAGATCTTGTTGAGTGCTGTTCAGAGTATTAATAGTAGTAGCATTCTTTTCCTTCCTGACATCCCAGTGATAACTAGAGTGAAACAGTGTCTAAATTTCTTCAGTAAGCTTTGGGTCTCACAGGACACAAATTAAAGATTGGGCAGAACTTGACTGTCTTTTTGGACACTGCCTTAGAATTCTATTCGGGTGTGAGCCCTGAGTGTGCAGCGTCCACCTGCTGGAGTCCTGCACAGGTGAGTGTGCAGGCATCCTGGACAGCCTGCCCGAAGAGGGGCAACAGGAGGCTTCCAGGAAGGGAGGTGTCAAGGACCAGCTGCTGAGACCTAGTGGCTGATTCCTGTGAATTCCATGGATGAGCCAGATGCCCTTGTGCTGGCAAGGAAATCTTAAGATCTCAAGAAGCAGAATGGGAGTTGCTGAAATAACAAACCGAAACAAAGACATAACCATGTAAGGTCAAAAGCACAGATTAAAAAAAGATGACCACGTTTTAGCTCTTGGAAACAAAATGTTCAGAGAGAGGCAAATTATTGGCAGATGGATTTGCTACGGAAGTCTTTTTAAATAGTGAAAGCCCTGCAAATAGAGCATAATCCCAGCATCTGTGTGTATTTGGAATTTAGGCAATTACAGCCTGAAGAATTCAGAATCCATTTTACATGTGTGAGAGTAGAGCGCTTGAAAGAGTAAAAAGAGCTCCTTTTTGAACAGCTCTTGTTCCAGGTTGTATTTCTCCTTTGTATTCCCAATTGATGGCACAGTACCTGATACTTAAAGATCCTCGTGGCTGAGCACAGTGGCTCACACCTGTAATCCCAGTACTTTGGGAGGCCAAGATGGGCAGATCACCTGAGATTGGGAGTTAGGGACCAGCCTGGCCAACATGATGAACCCTGTCTTTACCAAAGATACAAAAATTAGCCAGGTGTGGTGGTGCATGCCTGTAGTCCCAGCTACACAGGAGGCTGAGGTGGGAGGATTGCTTGAGCCTGGGAGTTGGAGGGTGCAGTGAGTGGAGATTATGCCACTGCCCCTGAGCCTGTGCGACAGAACAAGACCCTGTCTCAAAAAACAAAAAAAGGCAACAAACATTTTCATCATGCCCCGAAGTTTCTATGTGTTTCTTAGTAATGCATCTTTCCAACCACTGTCACATCTCCAGATAACCACTGATCTGCTATTATTATCAATTAGTTTGCACATTCTAGAATTTTATATAAATATAATCACATGTGTGTACTCTTTTTTAGTGTAGCCACTGTCACTTAGCTTAATGATTTTGATAATCTTCCATGTTATTGCATGTGTTAATGGTGTTTCCCTTTTCATTGCTGAGTAGTAGTCCATATTATAGATGTACCACAACTTATCTGTTCACCTGTTGATAGAAATTTGGTTTTTCTCTCACTTTTTGCATAACTTTCCCACTAAAGTCACTACAAACATTCATGTACAAGTCTTTGTGGCAGCGGGTATTTTCATTTCTCTTATCTGTCATTCCAACTAGGAGTAGAATGCCTGGATCATATGGTATGTGTATGTTTACCTTTTTAGAAAACAGCCAAACTGTTTTTTAAGTGGCCGCATCTTTTCCTTTTTTCCAGCATTGTATGAGAGCTCCAGTTGCTTCCCATTCTCACTAACACTTCGTATGGTCAGAGTGAGACTAGAGAAGGCATTTTTATATTTCTGCATGTTTAGGAATTTCTGAACAAATTTTTACTGGGAACTGGGTGAAAAGATAAGTGTTAGAGTTAGTGAGAGATTTACCTCTTGAAAGTAATGTGTTCATGTATCAAGGGGTAATGAAACTCAAAGCCATAGAGAGATTCCAGGGGTTAGAAACTCAGAGAGGCTTCTCTTATCCTCCCCTTGGAGATATGTATTTACATACCATGGGTATGAGACCTGCAACCATTTGTCTCCTTATGGTGAGCGATTTGCTTCCATCCAAAGGCTAATTAAACTCTTTCACTCAAAGACTAATCATCCCTCTTCTCTTCCTAAGGAGAATTTATTGACACTAGGGGAGCAAATGTTTGTCTCCCTCTCTCGGGAGGTGAGAAGGGATCCACGGTCTCTCTCCTATGTAAACTCCCAGATGGATAATTTTGGTATTCCTCATCTGTATTACAAATCCCAATATGTGTAGGGTGACATCTGGCTCTTCTCATGCTGCCTAGTGGGGGAGAATTGGATTAGAAGGGGGAACCACTATGGTTGTTCCCATGAGTAAGTCATGATTCATCTGTCTTTGCTCTGGGAAATCTTATGTTTACTCTCAGGAAAATAGGAATAAATGTAGTTATTAAAAGCTTAAGAGTCAGTTTAAAAAATGTTTTAGCCATTCTGATTCCTGTACTGTGTTATCTTTATTGTGGTTTTATTTTACATTCCCTGAATGTCTAATGGTCCTGAGCATCTTTTCATGTACTTATTGACCATTTGTATATCTTTCTTTAAAACATGCTCGAGTCTTCTGACAATTTTTGCGATTTTTACATTGGGCTGTCTTTTTGTTGAGTTGTTAGTGTTATTTATTGTATTCTGGATAAAGTTCTTTATGTATACGTGTTGTGAGTATTTTCTCCTGTTGTGTGGCTTGCCTTTCTTGTTTTCTTAAACAGTGTCTTTTGAAGAGTAAAAATTTTGGATTTTAGTAAAATGCAATTTATCAGTTGTTTCTTTTACGGTTTATGCTTTTGTATTTTTTTCAGGAAACCATTGCCTACCTCAAGATTAAAAAAATGTTCTATACATTTTGTGTGTTAGGTGTTACGTGACCCACCTTGAGGTAACTTTTGAGTAGATATGAAGTTAGGGTTATTCTTTTTTTCATAGACTGTGTTGTTTCCTTTTCTTAGGTTGTCTTTGAAGCTTGGTGATGCTGGAAACCCCAGAGGTCTTGCTATAAGGTAGGTAGGACAGCACTTTAGAGCGTCGCAGCTTCAGCACTTCAGATTAGCTCTCTAAAATGTATTCATTCCACATGTGTGAAGCAGGGGCTTGCTATATGCCCAAGCACTGTGACACATTGCATGCCACATCAACCTAATTACACTGAGAAGTTGGTGCTGTGATATGATGGGATCCTATACTGATGCTTTCTTTCTAAAAGTTTCTACCAAAATACCCATCACTTCCCTCTCCCCCACCCCCCATGCCGCCTGCATTAAGGACTTAGAAAACTCCCAGTCCTGAGAATGTAATATCCTTTTCATCTGAGAAAAGAAGAAAATAGAAATAAAGCTCTAAGGACTGGGGCTCTGGTTTGAAACTATTTTCTATAGCTTCTTATAACGAATCACACTTTACCATTTAACTACAATGAAAAAGCCTCGTTATGTGCGTTCCCCAGCAGACAATCAACAGAGGCCTGCAGTTTTTTGGTGTTTAGGTATGAAAGGATGCATCTGCCAACAGTGACTTTAGCCAAGCAGTTAGGAACTGCTCCTGAGGTGGGGGGAACAATTTGAAGGCATTATTATTTTTTTCTTATAAAAATACAGTGCTTCCCTTCCTATAAGACAAACTTGTTAGTGGAGATAAGTAGTTGTGTCTTTAACATTATTTGGAAAAGCAGCAGGATTGTGCTAGGGCAGTCTTTCTTAAGCTTTGCTCTGTGGGACACTTCTGCTCTGTAAGAATATTTATAAGATTTTATGAAAAGGGGGTTCTGTGGTCAAATGTGTCTGGGAACGACTCTAAACCATGTCTTCCTCTTGGCAATTCACAGTGTAAACTTGTATGTTAAAGTTTCTGAGAAGAAATAATCTTAAGGAAGACTATTGCACTTTGTAACTTTGACTAACTCAGTGTTTCCTGTGTTTAACTTTGGAGAGCCTTCTTCCTCAGAACACTTGTCTACATATCATGGGAGACTAGTGTTTCACTGATCATAATTTAGAAAATATATGCCATCATCTTTCAGAGCAACTTTACAAGTAAATAGAACCCCACAAGGTGACCAAACACACATATCTGTTTGATCTAGAAATGGAGAATATTTTTGGTCATAATTCTACTTTTTTCCAAAATGAAAAATAGCTTTATTATTATTGTTGTTATTATTATTTATTCTGATGAGAGAGGTATGTAGCAGGCACTGTCAGTACTCCATGAATATCTACATGGTCCTTTCCCTTTGAGAGTACTGTAGCCTACCTGCTGAACTTTCAACTCCCAGCCTCTCTTTGCCTAAAAGCTTTCTCTGGCCCACTGTCCCCAGTCCCTGGCCCAATGACTGGAGGAAACATACACACACCTCAGCTCCCTCCCCATCAGGTGAGATAACTCAGCAGCATGTGCTGTACTCTGGCTCCCAGGTTCCATCACGGCAATGAAGCCCTGCTTGTCCACATTGGACACTTGCTTAATAATGTGCCTCTTTTAGCTGCCTTCCCTTCCTCTGTCATTTCTTTTCTCTCCATTTTACATATTTTGAATGACTGAACTCCTCTGAATATTTCTTATATTCACACCCTTGTCTTAGGGTCTTTTTGCAAAGGAGCCAAACAGAGACAAGAAAAACTAATGAAAACAGAAAAATCAGAAAATATTGAGCTACAGAAAGAAGAAAATGAAAATCATCAATAATCTAAACACCATTTGCAATCACTACTAATGTTTTAATCTCCATCCTTCCAGACATTTTTTTCTATGCAGTCACATATTTTTTTAAAAATTGAAATAAAATGATAATGACAAGTAAATTATGACTTTTTTCATGGCTGGAAAACAGTCTATTCCGAAAGAGTTAAGATTGGATTTGAAGCCCAGCTCTGACACTTACTCTCCCAGTGAGCCTATTCAAGCCCTTTGTGTTTTAGATTCCTTGCCTGTGAATTTAGAATAAGGATATTATCTACCACATAGTGTTGTAGTGCAGGTTAAACACAATACACATACATAACTCAGAAGCTATCAAGAGAGCTATTACCATTATTTTAAACCACAATTTAGCAAATTCTTCATTGATGTCCATTTAAGTTTTTCTCAAATTTTTTGATGAATAAACCCATAATCAAGTGTTGATTCTGAAAAAGCAAAAACAAAACAAACAAACCCAAACTTTGTGTTTTTTTCTTTCGTAGGAATTTGCACTGTCCACTTTGGGGCCTGCCCTGTCATTTTCTCTTTCCCATCCATCCAGGGGAGGCTCTGCAACAAAAGTGAAGCCTCTCCCCAAGCCCGTTCTGCCGCCTGACGAAAGAGGGCGCCATTGTACTGTTCATAGATGATGCCTTGCGCCGGTAAATGTGGGAACAGTTCTTTAGGAGTAATGCTGATTTTATAACCATTTTCAGATTCATCCTTACCAATTACAACAAGTTGTCCATCCAGAGCTGGTTTACTTTGCGCCGAGTCGAGATCGTTTCCAACAATTCAATCCAAGCAGTCTTTAACCCAACTGGCATACATGCTCCCTCCGGTTACTCCTACCGCTGCCAACGCGTGGGCAACCTGCCGCGGGACCAGGCCCTCTTGCTACCCAGCGACACGGATGATGGGTCGAGCCTGTGGGAGGTCACTCTTATTGATTTCCAGGTAATAAACTAAAACCTATGCTCAATGCACCTGCGTTTTTGGTACCAAAGGAGCTCAATGTTTGTTTAAAAACACCTGAAACAAACCTAGATGCTTAAGGAAAAGAGAAGTAGATGCCTTTAAAAGAATATTGGTGGGTTTTTTCCTTTGCCTTTTAAGGTATGAAATGGAATAGGATAGAGAATTTTATCTCCCTGTACCCCCCACCCCCTACCCAAGGCTTGCTTTTGCATTCAGCTTTATCCAGCACTAATAATTATCAGTGAGGAATGCCAGCCATCTAAGCCCTAGCGAAGCTGTGGGTGAAGCCAGGGCCTGACACTTCCTGCAATGAGAGGCCCTTCTGGGGAGAGACATTGGTGGACAATTATTTTATTTCCTTCGGGGAGTGGCACAGTGATCCTATCAGGGAAGATAAGAAGTATATCTGCAGTGTGAGTGACAGCTTTGGCAGTTAGTAGGAAGGGACTCGGCGGGGAGTCAAAAATATCCCAAAGATCTTCTTGAAGGTATTTGGAGAAAGGAATGGGGTGTAAGAGATTCCTTTTCACTACCAGAATCTTAGGTTGAGAGACATTCTGTCAAGTTCCTCTATCCTGTTTACCTGTGAATGAAGCTTAGCTTGTTCCTGCCACTCTCTGAAATAGTAGGCAGGTCTTTGCATGTACCTCTCGTGGGCACATTCCAACCTTTTCCAGATATATATGGGCATTCTCATATGTGCATATTCTTCCCTTCCATCCTTCCCAAGCTTCTGTAGAGAAGTGTGGTGTGGATGAAAGGCAGTTTGGGGTAGGGAAGGAGCTCACATTTTGGAGTCAGACAGACCTGGTTTCAAATTACTGCTCAGCCACCAGGGCAAGTTACTTAACCTCTCTCAATTTCTCACCTATCTTTGTTAATGTAAGGAATACGTGGCCTAAGGTATGTAGAAACACTCAGTAGTGCGCCAGGCGTGGACTAACAATAATTGCTACATGTGAGTGTCCCGTGTGTGTTGGTGCTGTGGTTGTTATTTTATGTACTTTGTCTTCAGAACTTACCATAATGCTGCAAGGTCCTTTTATGAATGAGGTGACTGAATCTCTGATAATCACATAATTTTTCTAAGGAGTATAACTGATAGAGTTAATGGTAGAGGCATGACTCAAATTCTGGACAGCTTAGTTCCAAGGATTCTTTTGTGTGTGTATGTATAAAATGCTTATAAATATTAATATATATTATGTATGTGTATGTTTATACATGTGTGTGTGTGTGTGTATATATACACATATACAGAAATGGCAGTGAGGATACAATGACAAGAAGGAATATTTTACAAATAATTTCGCCTAATTAGACCAGGGGAATTGATTGATTTATACTTCTAACTTGTTCCGGAAATGACTTAGTTGACTTATGGAAATACTACTTATGAAAAATTACTTTCAAAAATAGGCAAATCATTTCACAGCCATTAGGATGGCTATTATAAACAACAACAAACAAACAGAAAATAATAAGTGTTGGCAAGGCCAGGGAGAAGTTGGAACTCTTGTGCATTGCTGTTGGGAATGTAAAATGGTGTGGATGCTGTGGCAAATAATATGGAGTTTCCTCAAGAAGTTAAACATACAATCACCAAGAGATCCAGCAACTCTACTTCTGGCTATGTACTCCAAATAATTGAAAGCAGGGACTTGAACAGCTTTCACCTATGTTTATACCTATGTTCATGGCAGCATTATTCACAATAACCAAAAGGTGCAAGCAACCCGAATGTCTATCAGTGGACGAATGGATCGACAAACCTAGTGTATATGTACAGTGGAATATTATTCAGCATTAAAAATGAAGAAAATTTGGGAGTGGTGGCTCATGCCTTTAAACCCAGCACTTAGGGAGGCTGAGGCGGGAGGATCACTCTTGAGCCCAGGAGTTTGAGACCAGCCTAGGCAACATAGTGAGACCCCCATCTCTACAAACAATTTTTAAAAAAGAAATCAACTGGGGGCATAGTGGTATCACCTGTAGTCCCAGCTACTTGGGAGGCTGAGGTGGGAGGATTGCTTGAGCCCAGGAGGTGGAGGCTTCGGTGAGCCAAGATTCTACCACTGCACTCCAACCTGAGTGACAGATGCCTCAAAAAAATTAAATTTAAAAAGAGGAAGGAAATTTGGATACATGCTACAACATAAATGAACGTTGAAGACATAATGCTAAGTGGAATAAGCCAGCCACAACAGAACAAATATTGCATCATTTCACTTATATGAGGTACTTACAGTTGTCAAACCCCGAGATGGAAAGTAGAATAGTAGTTGCCAGGGACTGAAGGGAGGAGGGAATGGGCAGTTAGTATTTAATGGGAGTAATGTTTCAGTATTGCAAGATGTGAAAATGTTCTGGAGATGGACGGCAGCAATGGTTGCACAACAATGTGAATGTACTTAATAGCCCTGAACTGTATACACTTAACATGGTTAGATGATAAATTTTACATCATATATATTTTATAATAAACAATTAAAACAAAAAATTTAGCAAAGACGTGGGCGCAGGGAAAAACAAAGGAAGAAAATGTCAGTTAGAGCCACCAGTGAGGTTAATATACAAAACCACGAGACCATTTGTCTGCACTGACTGGAGGCGGCACAGGAATTTGGCTCTGAAGTTCTGGAGCAGGCAGTATGAGAAACACTCAGTTACATGTTCACAGGGTCCCTAAGACTGCTGCCAGTGTGCTTGGGATGAGCACATTCATCCCTGGTGGTGTGAGATGTGTACATCCTTATGAGCATTCGTACCATAAACACGGCTTTCAGGGGGACAGGTGGGCCTTGTTGAAACCCCCTTCATGTGAAGAGATGGCAGAACACAAACTCAGTCCAGTGGAGAGGAGGTGGTGGTGATGGTGGCTGAGGTATGTGTACAAAAGGCTGCTGTCCACATGCGCAGCTCTGCTGGCCTGGCTTATGGTGGGAATAGAGTATAGAGCGATGTGGCTGGTGTGGCAAACTCAAGTACCTTGGGTAACTGGTGATTTGGGCTGGGACTGTGGCAAAGGGTAGCCTTCATCACAGTGAGCATTTTACAAATTCAACCGTGCTGATTTTTGCTTTGTAGGAATGCAGGGCTGGTGTTGCTGAATCTTTTCAATAGAAGCTAGATTGGTGGATTCTCACAGGAAATTTTCAGGATATTCCGAGCACTGCGTCAAACAAAACTCACCTGTGGGCTAGAAACAGCATGTCTGTATAACCTCTAGTCCAGGAAATGGGTGGACAGTGTATCAGGCATTCTCCACACTTACTGTTCTCAACCAAGTCTTGTTAAGAATTAAGTGGCAGTTGGCCGGGTGTGGTGGCTCATGCTTGTAATCCCAGCACTTTAGGAGGCCGAGATGGGTGGATCACCTGAGGTCAGGAGTTTGAGACTAGCCTGGCCAACATGGTGAAACCCTGCCTCTACTAAAAATACAAAATTTAGCTGGGCATGGTGGCAAGCGTCTGTAATCCCAGCTACTTGGGAGGCTGAGGCAGGAGAATCGCTTGAGCCCTGAAAGTGGAGGTTGCAGTACGCTGAAATCCTGCCATTGCACGCCAGCCTGGGCAACAAGAGCAAAACTCTGTCTCAAAAAAAAAAGAATTAAGTGTCAGTCAACCTGAGGACATTCTCCTTGGCTGGAGTTGCAGAATCAAGTGAGGTCGTCTTTTGTCATGGCGGAGCTCGACTCTTCAGGCACCAGTCTAAAGAGAAGGTCACTCTGCCTCTTCACAGGAGGGGCAGGGCAGGGATCCCCAAAGCCAGAACAAGAGTCCGCTTCAGAAGCTGCTTTGGGTTCAATCAAGAGCACAGACAGTTGGGCGAGCAAGGCCCCTTGTGTCTATGGAGTGATGGGCGGCCTCAATAATTCTAACACACACGGGACAATGCCAAAGTGCTCACTTAAGCCATCAAAGTGAATTTTCAGTAAAGCACTCATGGATAGTTCAGTCGTCTGATGTACTCTTTAAAAACTGAGTAGGTGTCTGAATGAGGCAATGCTGTGTAGGGTCATACTTTTAAAGCCAGCTAGACAAGGGACTGTCTTCCACAAGCGATGGCTCTTGTTTTAAAGTAATTGCTTTGTAGCCCTGTTTCATTTTGACAGTGTTAGATATCAGTGCCAGTTCTCAATTTGAACCTCTCTTTCTTTCAAGTAATGATACCATTTCATCTGCACATAATGGAAAGCTTTTCTTTCTATTTGGTTGGTGCAAAAGTGATTGCGGTTTTTGCCATTAAAAGTAATGGGTAGGATGCAAGGAGGGATCCAGAAATGGGACGAAGTCTGTATGGTAAAACCAATAGAGAGACAGGGTAGGGAGGAGGAAGAGAGAGAACCCACCAGGAGCTATGAAGTGCGAGTCTGACGCCCACTGCCCAGGTTTCAATTACACCATCACAACATTTACTGTTGTGTGACTCTAGGCAAGTTACTTAATTTTTCTGTGCCTCAGTTTCCTCATCCATAAAGTAGGAATGAAATAGTAACTTACTCATAGGCTCTTTGCATACTGAAAAAATTAAGGCAGTTTATGGTACTCAAAAACCTTTGATAAGTGTTAGCTTTTATGATTATTATTTATCTTTTACCTCATTAAGGATCATGACACCCCCCTTCAAAGACTCTTCCTCATTCCTGTCAATAGAATCAAAGGCACAAAATCTTTCACAAAGTCTTTGTGAAACTTATACTAGCCTTATAAAATTTTGAGTATGCTTTGGATTTTAGAGACAACACAGCAGTTGTGGTTTTTCCATGAATTGGAATATTTCTAAGGATCAGATTAAAAGAGGTTTTCTTGCAGAGCCTTGAAATCAAGGTTTTATTTGTCTTGAATTTCATGAGCCTCCTAGTTATGACAACCATACATCCCAGAATTTCTGGGTCAGTCCTGTTTTAAGATTGAGTTGCACTGTCCCCATAAGCACAATCACATTTGTCAAATCGTGTGGTAAAATTATTCAGCAAATAGGGTGACAGTATATGAAATTTGGCTACCTAGGGGCCAGAACTGCCAGCCCAACTGGGAAGTAGATCCTAGGAGAGAAGGGATGTATCACTTCAGCTCCTTCCTTTCTCCTGCAGATCCAAGGTTTTGCCATCAAGGGGGGACGGTTTACGAAGGCCCAAGACTGCGCCTCCTCCTTCTCGCCAGCTATTCTGATTGGCCTGGCAACGTCCCTGATCCTGCTGCTGGTGTTGGCCTACGCCTTGCACATGCTCATCTACCTGCGGTATCTGGACCGGCACTACGATCTCATCGCCTCTCCTGCCCACTTCCCGCAGCTGAAAGCTCGAGACACAGCTGACGAGAAGGAGCTGCTGAGGAGCCAGGGGGCTGAATGCTATGAACTGAGAAGCCAACAGATCAGCAAAATCTATGTTTAGCAGCACAGGCTGGCCCCCACCACGTCCACAGTGGGCTCCGAAAGTTGTTTCTGTTCTACACTATTTGACTTGTGAATTACAGATTTTCACCAAATGGATTGATTACAAAAGAAAAAAAAAAAGAAAAAACAGAAAAAGGAAATATATAATGAATTCTTTTTGAACCATCCTCTGGCCTACGTAGGTAGACTTAGGGCAATGAAAAAAGGCATCTCAGGGACCCCACAAAGACAAATATGACTGTTAGTTGCCTCAAAGTACCCTGAAAACAAAGGAGTATTTCAAGTAGGGAAAAAGAAAGACAAAGAGAGAGAGAGAAAGAAAAAGAAGAAGGAGGAGGAGGAGGGGAGGAAGGGAGGGAGAGATGGAGGGAGAGAGAGAGAAAGATTGGCAACACAGAGAAAGGAAAACACACTCGGTCCTCCTTGCCTGTGCCAGTTTGGATGTGATAATTATAGAAATAATAAACCCAAGATTATCTGGAGGTTCATAATTTAAACTATTTTGTAACATAATTTGCATTTCTAGATATTATGTCCCAATTTTGTTTTAAAAATAGTCTTTTTCTCTTTCACAGAAATGTTGAGGGAGGACTCCAGTCCATGTGGCAGAGCACTTTATTTAAGGACCTTCTTGTCCTTTACTTTGCTGTTCAGAAGCAGTACAGCTCCATCTGTGAAGTAGGGGTAATAGTCTTGGCCATATTTTACCTTTCCATCTGGTCAAGGTACCAGCGTTGTCTCATTTGTCTGATTTAGACCTCTGTGAGCTCTCATAGGTCCACTTGGAATAAACAATAGAGCGAAGCAATAACAGTGTGCTTGCTATGCAAACACAGCTTTGAGACATATCCCCTGATCTTCCTTCCAATGAGATAGTGTCCTCTAAATGCCTCCTTAATAGAAATTCTAGAGCTACCACTGATGTTCTTACTGTCACTGTCTTTCATATGCATTCCTCAGCATCCTTTTCAGCTCTTGGCAGATACTGAAGATTGATTCACTCTTCATCCTCACCAAAGCGTCTCTAATAATATGCCTTCTGTCTTAAAGAGATCTTAAATATAAAGATGACATTGCATTTTCCCAGCTAGGGTTCGGTACAGGACCTAGGTTCTACAAGAACATACTCCTACACAAAACTTAGAATGCAGACGGGAACCATGTGCAGTGGAGGGTCACACACAGAGCAAGAGAATCTTCTGGGCAGCTGTCATGATGGGTCTGCTGTCTAGTCCCATCCTAGTTGGCAAGCAGTAGATGATAATGACAGCGAGTTTTCTGATGGGACGGTCTCATGTTGGGCATTTATTTTGGCTGCAATTTTCTTGGCTATGAATGTAGGTTTGGTTCTGGCCCTCTCAGAATTCTCTAAGATCCTATACTTTACAGTAAATTTCTTTCTGTTTTAATAACAGAGTTGATTCTGTAGTCTGCAATGAAGAATCCTGATTTATGTAGTTGTTAGTACCAAGAGGATTGCAGGGAACAGACTCAAGAAAATGCGAATCTATGATTGATTATCCAACTCCATTTGGCTTTAAACCAGTGGAAACTGTCAGCCTTAGAGAATGGTATTCAGTAATCAAACAGATTTTTACTGTGGTTCGCTTGAGCATCCACTGGTGTTATAAGTGGTTGTTTGCTCGGTTACAGGCACTTGAAGGGTAAACATAAAGTATTGCTCAAACTAGGACACTTTTGAAAGAGAAAATGGTGTGGTTAACAATTCTCAGATAGCAGACATAAATGGGATGGTGCCAAGGAAACTGGGATAGATAGTCACCATGAGTATGGATGATACTCTGCAGGTTTGGCTGGCTCTTTCTAACTGTGCCCAATGGCTTACAGTCTGGGAAGTTTCTAAGACTGATCTAAAGGGATCCCTTACCTCTTGTCAAAGGGCCAGCATGGTAGAAAATCAGACACAGGTCAAATCCTGCAAACTGCTTACCTGCATTGCAGGTGAAATTCATAGCTTTGCTGGATCTCTTATACGAACACGAGCATAATGATCACAAAACAGAAGAACTCTGACAGGCTAAGAGCGGTGGCTCATGCCTGTAACCTCAGCACTTTGGGAAGCCAAGGCAGGAGGATCGCTTGATGCCAGGAGTTCAAAAAAATTTTTTTAAAAATTAGGTAAGGGTTCTGTCGTGCACCTATAGTTCTAGTTACTTAAGAGGCTAAAGCAGGAGCATTGCTTGAGCCCAGGAGTTTGAGGTTGCTGGGGGCTATGATCATGTCACTTCATTCCAGTCTGAGTGACAGAGTGAGACCTTGTCTCTAGAAATAATAAAATAGGCCAGACACAGTGGCTTATGCCTTTAATCCCAGTGTTTTGGGAGGGTGAGGCAGGAGGATCACTTGTGCCCAGGAGTTCGAGATCAGCCTAGGCAACACAGCAAGATCCTGTCTCTAAAAACAACAACAAAAATATTAGCTGGGCATGGTGGCATGAGCGATAGTCCTAGCTACTCAGGAGGCTGAGGCTGGAGGATTACTTGAGTTCAGAAATTTGAGGCTGTGGTAAGCTATGATTGTGCCACTGCATTCCAGCCTGAGTGACACAGTAAGATCCTGTCTCAAAAATAAAATAAAAATAAAAAAAGAGGGGAACGTTGAGAATAGAAATCGTGACTTTTGGGAGGATTTAAATTTTTAAGAATATTAAGCTCCCAAATTCCACTATTTTTTCCTGTTAGTAGAAGCAACGCCTGAGAGACAAAGCTATTCCTGCCTTGCTTGAAGACACTGTGATGACCTCACCAGAAATAGTTGTCTTGCCAGGGGGTGTCAATTTTCCTCATTGCCTTTAGGCAATTAGAGTCACATTCTGGCATATACCAGGGAACCAATTGTAAAGTCAAATCTGTGATAATCAAATTGCAAAAATAGTTTTGCTAACTTATGCCACAAAAGATTTGGGAGATTATGTGTGGTAATGGATTCTGGAGGTGCTAGCCCAGGGAATGAGCTGTATAATTTTAGACTGGGATGAATTTTTTGGATATGGGTTCTCTCACCAGAGATTTTGGATTAAATGTGCTGGTTTGAGCGGCTGGAAGTGTTCCTAACAGTTTTCTCAGTTTGTTGATTAAAACCTAGATTCAACAGTGGCACACACTAAATGAAGTAGAGGGATCAGTCATTTCTTAGTGTTAGAGAAAGAAGAGAAATGCAGTAACTTAAATGATTGGGATGTAGGAATGGATTTATCATGCATGAACTGCTCTCCCTCCCTGTAACTATTTCTCTCTGTAAAGGCCCAGAGGACACTCCCTTTGTCATAGCACTGATAAACACATTGGGAATGTGGCATCAGCACTTTTGAAAAGTGCCCTGGTGGCTGTCCTCTGCAGGCTAGGGTGGAGGTAGATGTTACCTTTGAAACAGAATGCTTAGTTTCCATAGGGATGCTGAGACCCTGGAGTGGTAGAGGGTAAGTAGCAGCCCAGTAACCTTAGAAGGCTGATGGGCAGGAGTGTTAATCAGATTAGATTATCTTTGTTAATGGTAAATTGGTCTTTGACATCTGTGGCTAGGCAATCCACTGGTGTGCCCTTTGATCCACATAATAACAATGTTGATGATAGAATCTAGATCTGGTATAAAAAGCTGTACTTGAACCATCATGGTAGGTTCCCAGAGCTGAGTCTGCTCATAACTTGAATCCCTTGAGTGAGAAAGAGATATCTTAAGATGTCTTTATGTCTGATGTTGAGTATTATTATGAGCAGTTGTATGCTTATCCATCAGGTCTTCATCTTTTTGGATCACTTCTGGTATGTTCTGATCTTCAGGTAAAGAACCTACACTATTCATATGAATACCTTTACTATAAACTCATTAGATATGTGATTATTGCTCAGTAATTGTTAGTGCTGCAGAAACACAGCCTAAGAGCTGTCTCCTTGGAGATCTGGAACAAAGTGACAAAAAAGTGATGTTTGACACAAGTTGGAGTTGAAGGCAAGATGAAAGCACAGCAGAAGGAAACACATATGCAAAGTCTAGGCTCTGTCATGTGTGGAGAACTATGAACACATGTGTGTGGGTAGGTAGATAGAATGTGTTTAGAGGAGTTGAGAAGGAGAAGCTGGAGATGAAGAGAGAGACCGGATCTTTGTATTCACCTAAAGACTTAGAATCTTGACTTGAGGTAATTGAGAGGCCCTTAAGAGGATTTTAGAGGATTTCGAGCAAGATGATTACATGGTGTGGAAGTGTGAATAGAACAGGGAGAGAAGTGCTGATTAGGAGATTATTGCAACAGCTTAGGCAAAAAATATTAGGACCTGAACTAATAGAGTGATGGAAGATAGAAGCTAAAAGTGGTGTTAGGAGGTTGGCAACCAATTAGCAAATCACAAATGAATGGTAGGTGTCTGATTTGGCGTTGTGAGGATGGTGGTGTCAGGCTCTGCAATCAGTGAGAAAACAGGTGAGGGTGGGAGTGGGTGGCCCCTGCAGTCTCTCAGTAGAGGCCTAAGTAGGCAGTTGGTCGTGTGGATCTGGGGACAAAGAGAGAGATCTGGACCAGAAACAGAAATTTAGAAATGTAGCAGATGCTGTCAGTGTTCCACCCACATTGTTTTGGCACTTACCATTTTGGTGTGTTCTGGCACATCTTTCCATTGCCAACAACTGTCCTCAGGGGCTTCTCTACCTGTGGTCATGGCGGGCTGGAAGGGGTAAGGAATTAATGCTTTCTGGGAGTAGCCCTCAACCAATGACTCGGGAATTGTGTACAAACGCCACAGCTCGTTTGTTCTTTGCCTGGGAAAACTCTAGAGTATGTTTTATGCTGTTCCCTGGAGCTTCCCAGCAGGACTAAGCCCTTTCGCCCATTGTGGAATCTTGCTTAATAATGTTTACTTTATGGGCTCCTTCCTCTTCCCTGTCTCCCTTCCCCACTCCCCTAATGGCATTTCCAAGTATCATTGCCAAAACAAACTATTTGCATCTACATCCCTGTTTCAGGATCTACTTCTAGGGAAACCCAAATGAAGACAGGTAGTAATGGGCCTATGGGGAAAGTTGAAAACTAGGTGGTATTGGTGAAGAAATAAATGAGATCACCTGAGAAGAAAGGATAGGTTGATAACAGACCCCTGGGGACACTATCATTTATGGAGTAGGACGAGAAAGACCAATCTGTAGATTTAGAGTAGGAGAAATCAGAGAGCAAACCAAGAAAGAGTAGTGTCCCAGAAATCAAAGAAAAACAGGCTTTCAAGATGAGGGAAGTAGAAACCATGTCAAATGCCGGAGAGAGAGCAAGTGAGAAAAGAACT